CCCCCTCCCCCGCCCCTTCGGCCTGGACGGACGAGGAGCTCGGCATCCCTCCGGACGACGCGGAATAGGCGCCTCCGGCCGCGGCGATCCCGGCAGCACACCGGTACGCCTCCTGCCGCCCTTCCTCGCACAGGCCCGGCGGCCCTGGCACGGCTGGGCAGCGCCTGGGCTGGGCTTTGCTCTAAACAGCACTAAACCCGGTCACCAGAGCACGCAGAGTCTGGACTGTGCTTTGTAACTTTGCTTCAGAGCTCCCGGCTGCAATACAGGGCCAGGGCATCGTGCCTGGCTCTGCCTACTGGCCATCTTCTCTTGGTGCTGGTAGAAGTGCCCTACTTTCCGCAATTATCTGTGCGCTTCCAGAGGTAAACGTGCCAAAGCCCTGTTGTGCAGAACGCAGGTATTTGTTTGCACTGTTTATTGCCTTCGCACACTCTTTTCCTGGGTACCTGAATGCTCGAGTCCCGGTAGTCTAGTTTTGGCAATAGAAGCCTGCAGTGTAACAACTTATTTTTTAAGGAGTTGTAGCTTAACTGCTACCGGTTCAAAATTACTTTCCTTATGCTGTTCTGTGGACCCAGCATTACCTAACCTTGAGGACATGCTCGCTCTCTTTCTAGAGGGAGACCTGTGCAGTTGTCCCCTTAAAAGTTTGAGGCTCTTGCTTGTTTCTGATTCTTTAATTACCCTGTCTCTTAAGCTGCTGTGTCACATTGTGGCTCTAAACCTAACAGCTTCAAGTACTGCTGAAGGCAGCACAGGCACTATCGCCGAGGTCCTTCCCCTGCTCTCGGTGGTGGGAAGAGGATGGGTGAAAAGGTTCTCAGGATTCTCTTCTGTTACTTGCAGGTCCCTGGAACTAAAGAGGTCCCTGGAACTAAAGAGGTCCCTGGAACTAAAGAGGTCCCTGGAACTAAAGCTTTGGCTCCTTGGTCATTATTTCAATAAAAGTTAGCTGTAAACAACCTCTAAGGTAAATTGTGCTTTGTATTTGAATGCCGTAGGACTTACGGAACGTGAACGTTACAGCTTCAGAGGTGGGGTACTTGAGTCCACATGAGCTTCTGTATTGTTTGCTCGACATATAATGTGCTGCCCCCAAGAAATAAGGTGATGTATCCACGTTCAGAGAGCGATTTAAAACCTCCATGAAGTTAACTTAAAGACATTTTACTAAAATCTTGTCACCAAATAACAGTTGGAATAACAGTTGCCGTAGAAGCAGGGCAGTTACCCTGAAGAGAGCCCAGACCGGCTGGTGCCAAGCTTTCCCCAGGGCGAGGGGGAATCGCCCTTGGGTATTATCGAAGTCCAGACTCATCCTTGTGAAGCAAAACCCTCTGCAAAGGTAAAAATGCCTTAGGGCTAAGCACAGCAGACAAGGAGGCAGCAGCCCAGCGTAAGGAAGACGAAGGGAGGTCTCCAGGCATCCCTTGGTTTTTTGGTTTGTTTTTCCCCCCGCTCTCTTTTTCCTTCCAGAGTTACATTGTAAAGCAACAACCTCAAAGTAAATTTTTCACTCCCCTTAACCACCTTAGTTGCACCTCTGGCACTTCATGGAGAGGAGGAGTTGTGAATTACACGATAAACAATCATCTCCTTCAGACTCTTCCATGCAGTCAATCTTTATTATAGCAGTATTCTCATATTCACATCAAGTACATAGAACTTTTTGCCTTTTATATAATACAGAGTTCTTTAAATAACTTTACACAGAAATAGTTTTCTTCAATCTGAATTCAGCTATCAAATTTTAATACGTTTTAAGTCTCCATGCTCTCTAACCAAACTGGACAATATTTCCCATTGTACAAATTTACATGAGAAAAACTCCAAAGTACAAATGAAGGGACAACAGAAGTAAAGGGGGAAGGAACAAACAAGAAAAATAAGTTGTATTGGCAATTACAGGGGAAACTTGAGAAGGGAAGAAGGGGAGTTGCCATGACTTACGTAACAGGAAACCGAAAATAAACATTTTGTTATGAATTAAAAAATAAATACAAGTTTCAAAACAATTACTCCCTTGTAGATTTTAAAAAGCAGCTATGGAAATCTACTAACACAATTTGTTGTTTTTTTTTAAGTAACCAGACTGGACCCTTCTACTTTGCCGTCGTAAGCCCCTTGCAAACCTCTGGTGGTCAAAGAAAAAAAAAAATAGAGCTGAAAGGAATGTGTTAGCACAGAGTTTAAATTGGTGGGACATACATTTCATTGCACTAAGGAACAAACAAACATATGAAATCAAATCTGTATATAAATTTCCCTTTCCTCTCCTTACTAGATACTTTGCCTCTCATAAACAAGCCTCTGTATTATGAGGTAATGCCACTGTCTTGACTATATATAAAAAATAATCAAGTTTAAAGGGTATAGATCTGTACATCTATAAACTTTAAACAAGCCAGTCCTCTCTTACTCCCCGATAGGGTCCAACTACTGAGTGCTACACCTTCCATCGCTTTTTAATGAAACGTATGCATTGCGCCTCTCATGGAAACCCCCCAAGAGACCGGTGCGCCTTTCCTAATCTAGGAAAAGCGGCATGCGCTCAGGTAAGAAAGAGAGACAGTGCAAGTAATGCACAACAGATTACAAACACGTATACCTGCTCCTTCAAAACAAGGCAGAGTCACAGAAGGCAACAGTGGCCAGCCTGCATGTGTGTTCTGACAAGGGGAAAGGGATCCGATTGGGCAGCTGATGCCCCATTACTTTTTTGCAATCGCTTAAGAAAAATGTCCCCTGCCCAGCCCTGGGAGACCATCACTACACCTGACATGAGGTGAGGAGGGAAGTTACAACCGGAGGACGAAGGGCCAGGGGGAGCGTTGCACTCGCAGTCAGGATGACCACAGCGCAGGTGGGCTGGCTCGTGCATCCCGAATAGCGGTAGGCCCCGCTCTAGTGGAACGGGTCAGCACTGGATCCCAAAGGGATTTCACGGGTGGCAAGAAGTAGGGGGCAGGATTTTCCCCAATCCCAACAAATGAGATCGGAAGAAAAGCAACGTTCATTTGGGTTGCCAACACATGCAAGTTGGCCACTGTCAGGTTTCTGTCAGTTGAGGAGAAGTGTGGAGAGGGGGGAGGAAGGGGAGGCAGGTAGGACACAAGGCTCATGAAGGAATGATGTGCATTTTTTTTTGTTGATTTTTTTTGTGTTTTTTTTTTTCCTAAAGTTTCACAGCTTTGAATAAAAAAAGCACATTTATTGCACTTACATTTTATTTTAGACAGAGTTAATTTAAATTATGCCCTCGGAATCCCCCACCGTCCCAAAATAACCCAACACCCAAGTTTGGTCCCCTAGACCCAACATCCACGCCCAGATGGTGGGCTTCATTTCTTCTCCTAATGTTCCACTGAACTCCCAAACACACAGATTTTCCTTTCGACTAGGGTAAACACACAAATGCAACACAGAATGACATTTATCAAAACAAAACCCAACCATTTTCCAAACCCAAACAAAAAAGAGAACATAGTTATTTTTTGTGGTTTACTCGCTCAAAAGTAAATGTCACACAAGGCTTACTCTAAAGTACAGCTGCTGCAAACGCGACACACTAGACAAAATGGCCGGACAGGCCACTGTTGGCTCTTACGGAGGCTGGACGAGCTGAACTCACTGCTGCTGTGGATGCTATGAAGCAAATGCCTAGGTAGTTTAGAAGTTTCTAAACCCTCCCATCAGCTCCCTTCTCTTAGGGAAACAGTTTCTTTGTGATTTTGTTCAAAAGAAAAGGACAAAATGCCATCTTCTCACATGTACTTTTAGTGCAGAATTTGGGGTAGGTAGAAGGATCCCAGATAGTTCCTGGAACATTAGTAAAACGCTTTTACACTTTGCTTTCTAAAAGGAACAAAACCAAACTAAAATTGGTCTGATATTTCATATGAACTGTGCATTTAGACATAACTTTATAATTTACAATTACGCCCAAAGTCTTGCCCCAAAGAAGAAAAGGAAAAGATCTGAAAAAGCGCTAATACCAAAACCCATTATTTTGTCCTTTATGGACAAGTAGGTTAAATATGACACTGGTATGTAGGTACTGCCAGAAGTCTACGTAACCGGTTTGAAATTGGAACAAATCAAATTCAAACATACTGGCTGTCCCTCAGCTGACAAGACACCTACCATCTCCCACGGCTAACGTGCAATAACAGTATGCGATCACTGAAGAGTAACTGCAAGAGGCCCGAGGAAGAACTAAGGAAACCTGCGGATATTCCAGAAAACAAAATTAATTGCACTTTCTGGGCCAGGGAATTAATTGTATGGTCTGATATATGTGGACTTTGATTACGTGAGTACTAGCCACCAATTTATCCTCATCTAGCTCTCGTTTCTCATTTACCATCTCATTCCAAGATGCTATGACAGTGCAACTTTGGGCCTCTTTGGAGCTTTCGATTACCTTTCTTTAACAAGGTCTTTGTGTCTGGGGGGGGAAGGAGGAGGGCTTATTTATTTTTAAATTAAATGAACCTCATTTAACTTTCGATAGAGCAGATTTCAAGCAGCAGGTTTACTGTAACTGAATTAGGTATCCTTCAATTCCTAGCTTTGAAATGATCATAGGTATTTTGGGGAATGCTCTCTGCCCTCCTTGCTCCTTTACAGAAGTTTACCAACTCCAAATTACCTATCTATCTATAGTAACAGCTATATACAAAACTACTGCATCAGAAGTAAACCAAAGCCACTGCTCCAGTTACAAAGCACCTGGTTTACATTCTGTTGTACTTTTTAAGGTTGTGAAGGCACATGATCATTTGGCAAACTGCAAAGACTGTTTTGGGGGATCCCTACGTAAACCATTGAACAGGGGGTCTTGGTAGCTCTCTTTTCTAAAGACAAGAGAGATGCTAGTTTTCATCTGAATTCGCTCTTGGTGTACTCTACATTCTGCAGTTTTTAAAGTTTCCTCCTTCCACAGTTTCGTAGTTATTTACTGCTGTCATGGTGCTGACTTAGTAGCTTCTGTGTTAGCATCCTTGAAACTTAAATGCAAAGGAAAAGTTTTAACAACTTATCTTTGCTCTTCTGGTAATTTTATTTACTAGGTAAGAAGCAATGACGAAAGACATTTAAAATGCATGCCAAAACAAATACGAAGTGCAAACGCATATTAACAAGGCTGCAGTAAACAGAAAGTTCGTTTCATAAACTTCTATGTAAAATGCGTAACAGAAAACCAGAACACCCAGCACCTTCAAAGTGATGCTGTAACAGTCCACTCATGCAACTGCTTTTTAACTGAACTTAACTGTACCTAGAAGCTTCGCCTGTCGCGTTGTGCTACTGGTGATACTTTTTTCAACAGACAGAAGACACGTTGTCTACAGTACTATGAATAGTTTGTGCTACACATGCTGCACTCACAGTCAAGAAGGGAATGAAATCGATAGGCTGCAAAAGTGTGAAATGTCTACATGCTTCTTCCCTAAATTTAGACCCTCCAGCTATCAAAACTTCAACTTGTACTCGTTTGTGAGGTTTCTGGGGATCTGGCTTCCCCAAATGTTCTGTAAAATGCTGGATGCATTTACATCACCAGGCAAACACAGAAGCAAACCTATTTATGCGTGAGCTTCAGTGTATTTTCTCCCCTGATTTGGGCGTTTGTGGAAAGACGTGGTATTTATCAGCAGTCAGCATTTCACTCGTTTTATGTCATGAGGGCCAAATTCTGCCTCTGATGAGCACACACTAATCCAAGTGATGTTGAGAGGCCACGGTAAGATGGCAGTATTTGGCCTCAAACATTCTGCATCATCATCAGCTGCTAGAGCATTAAAGTACAAGAAAAGATGATTTTAGGTAAGCATAAAAAGCAGAAGTGGATTCATTTAATGACCTGCATGAGTTTAGCAAGAAAGAAATGACTGGGCTAATTGTATCTGGGGCCATGCAGGACTTAATTCACGCAGAAATTACTTTCAAAGTAACCAGGCCTCTATACTCATACCATTTGGTTTAAGCTCCACTACAACGTTCCAGTTCCAGCAAATACGCCGCGGGGAACAATCACGTACTGACAGGGAAGATGTAACAGATAACAGGCCTCTTCTAACTGTATGGAAAAGGAAAGGCAGAGGGGAAGGTATATGTGTGGTTAATAACGACATGAATACTGGTAGTTTTGCAAATAATTATTAGATACTAGACACTGTAGAGCTAAAAGCAGTATGACTGTCTAGATGTTTGTCTCAACACGTGCACACAAAGTACATACTAACATTTCCATACTATGGCATGTGCTTGTGGTTGGGACACCACAGAGAAGGTTAAGAAATTCGGTGTAACGGACATGAATGTACTGGTCATTTCAGTTCCTTCGTCCCACTGCTATACAGGGCACTTAGTTCTTGTCTACTCTTATCTCCCCATTCACTAAACACCTACAGGGCACATTTAAGACTGGTTCTGATGGCATGCGAGACATCCAGAAAAACTCCTGAAGGAAAAGATTAAAAAAAAAAATAATCCCAATTATTTACAAACCAAATTTCTTCCAAAGTTTTGTGTGAGTATTATGTGGGACCTCTTACAGACAAACACACATTGCTACAGCTATCTGGAGGGAAAAAAACAAATGTGAAAACCAGTAGAAATGCATCCTGAAAGGACTTCTCTAAACAGCAGCCAAACAACTTGCACATTCCTCAGGGAAAAAACAAAACAAAACAGAAAAACAAAACTACAAACAAACCAACCCCAATAAAAAAAACCCCAGAGATCACGTGTTACTCATAAAGTGCTTTGCATGGACAAGGATAGCAGTTTTCCTTGTGCTTTTCCTATGGGCTCAAGAAGCATTTTGTAGACTAATGGGTAATGAACCTTCACAAAAGTAAGTTCATTTTAAGCAAAGATGGAATGAAACTCCTAACAGTTATATTTTAGCAGACAATCTTCTGCCGGCACGACCTTGTGGAAGGAAACTAGGGCTTTTAACAAGCTCTGTGAAACAAATGACTGTTGAACCACCTGTACATACTTGCTCCGATAACAGTTTCTTTCGAGAGAACATTTAATTTCCAGTATGCCCGACATGTACAAATTAGGCCACAGCCCATACAGGGGCTGGAGCAATGCGTGGGGTGGAAGGAGAATGAGCAGCGATTACTTCACCCTTTGGGAGTCTGTGTCTGTAAATGCTCTCACCTGCCTGCTGACCCCAGTGGCCCCAGGCTCCTTCCACCTCTTGGGTATTGGCCTCAGATGATCACCAGGGAGCACTCCGATTTCACCCGTCTGCACACCACCGCTCGCTCCTTAGCTTCTCCACACTGGAAAGTGGCTATTGCTACTACTTAAATTCCTGCCAATCTCAATAAGGAAAAAAAACCTTACAGCATCTGAAGACCCACAGCAGACAAGAAAAAATTTGTGCTTTTTTTTTTTGTTTTGTTTTTAAAATGCATCCTGTACACAAAATCAATTCTATTCATGTACCAACATGAATCACTTCATTCTTGTAGTGACTATTAAGTCATTCACTATTGCTGTCTTGCTAATGTTTGTGGAATTAATATGAATACACAGTATTTCAGTTATAATTCCCACTTCAGGTTAGTCCGGTCCCTATAACCCCAGTAAATATTTACTGACAAACATAACAGACTACCAGCAACACCGCAGAACTCCAGGGTTTTAAAAGCACGTTCCACTACTGATGTGCGTTTCTCCCTTCGCCTGGGAGCAACCTTCTGCAGACAGAAACAGTCCAACTCTCCTAGGGAGGGAAGGACAGCATCCTCACCCAATACACCCACGTTTAGCACGGACACCACATTCACACACATTTAACTCCTTCATTTATTTGCCATGATTTTGTTTAACACCCCCCACCTCCCCCAAAAAGAACCTCCCCGCTAGAGGGGGGTCGGTTCTCCTGCCTCACCTGGAGCGGTACAGGGCAGATACGAATCAAAGTCTGAAAACTGTCTGAGCTTGAATTTCTTTCTAATGTGGTCTGACTTGCCTCTGTACAAATAATTTACATGTAATACCACACACCAGAGAACTCTGCAAACAGATCACATCACAAGATATTCTACTAGAGGTAAACGATGTGCAGAACTTTATGAGTTGTTTTTTCCCCTGACTGGGTAACTTGTCAAAAAGCTACCAACCGTTTGAAAACCAGGATTGGAGGACAGGAAAACAAAGCACTCTAAATGGAGATACCGCCACCTTCATCCTAGTTTGCAAAGTGTACAAAAGGGAAAGACAAACGGAAGGGAATAGATGACAGGGAAGAAAGCAATGAGAGGAGAAGTAGTCAGTGTGGATCCAGCAAGTACCGTTTTGCTTTGATCTAACAACTTGCCATTAGGACAAGATGCTCCACATTTATACACACACTTATCAGAGGATGTTTAGTTAACAGGATAAAAATCCTTTAAAAAAAGCTCTTGAAAGTACCAAAACATAATTTTCGGAATGTCTAATTCTAGGGGGGTTTGTATTTGTATTCAATTCAACCTGAGAACTTTTTTCCCCATTTATGAAAACATTACATATTGGTAAGGTACCTGGCATTAACCTGCACCCTCGTTTAAAATAAAACTTTTAAAGTAGGTACATACACCATTCACAGTCTGTATCAGGAATTCTACAGACTTCAGATGCCGTGGTAGCATCTTTGATAAATACGTTGTATCATATGATACAAAAGAAAAAAAATAAAAGAGAGGACAATCTCGCTACATTTTTTTTTTTTAAACTTCAGTTTGTTGCTGGACCAACAAAAGAAGGATCTACCTAATCCTTCTAAAAGATGTTGTCTATGCACACACCAAGAAAATGCTGGAAAAGGAAAAAGGTTAAGGTTGGTGGTTTTTGTTTGTTTTTTGAAGAAGTGATAAAGTAAATCTGAAAAAAGGTGCAGCAGCATCCCCTTTTGCTTCAGATTAACCTCTTCGCCTTTAGAGTAACATCTTCTCCAGCTCCCATCACCCCACATTTTTCATTTTGCTGGAATAAAACCCAATAATATAGACAGATTTAAGTGTTTGACATTGTAATACAGTGAAAAGGGGATACTGCATTGTCCATAAATCAGTGAGTACACCAGGAAAAAAAAAAAAGATCAGAACGGAGGATGATTCTTTTAAATTAGTACTCATCAGGTTTTCAGCCTCTGATGGTACGTTGTTAGAGGGAGAAAGCCGACCGGCAGACCATCCAAAGCAAGTCTCCTAAGTTGCAGCAGCAGTTCCATCCCCTCATGCCCGAGCACCACAGTCAAACCACGAGCGCCCTCTCCTCTCTCCTGGGAATGATGCCAACGGCACAGGCAGCCACTGCGGGTCTCCGAATGCACGCGGTGGTTTGTGTTGAAGGAGAAACACTGGCAGCAGAGGATTCTGGTTCCCAAAAAGGTACTTTTTCCCATTGTGTTGGACTGGCAGTTCCATTCTGCTCCACTTTTAAGCTTATGGATATCTTTTCTAAATTACTTTAGGTTTTGTGGAGCAGAACAGAGTTTTTGATGTTAAGAAACTGTAGGAACACAAGACTTAAATAACAGAGTGGGTGCTGCCATGGTGCTGTGGCTACTTGAACGCTGCAAATTCTCCTGTAGAGGGAGGACAAGAGCTTGGTTTAAAAAGGTGATTTCAGATACTAGGTGGTCAGAGATTTTCTCCAGACTAGTCAAACATTAGGTTGAATATAAAAGATGTTAAAAAATGCAAACTGTTAAAATTAAAGCACAAAAGAATACATAGTGAGAGAACATTGAATACAGACCCAGCATATTTTACCAAAGAAGATTTTCTTGAAAGCAAGCTGTACCCATTCTTCCCAAGACAGAGGTCTGAAAGTTCAAGCAAAGTCTAATTCATCATGCATTTGAAAATAAAATGTGTCAGTTTAATTTCACTTTAAACTCCTTATTGCACATATATCCTCCTGAAAAGCAACAATTGCAATAAATGCATCAGACTGCAAACTAATTTCTATTCTGGTGTAAAACTGGTTTAATAACAAAGAACAATTTGATACACCCGTTAACCTTTAAAGACTATATACAGTAAAGTGCCTGAATATTAAACTAGTATTGAAGAATGCTAGGGTCTGGTTTAGAGACCAACATAGCAACCTACTGTGAGAAAAATAAGAATGGTGAGATTGTCTACTCACTCCCAGACCAGAAACTAGGCCTTGCTCATTGGGAGCACAACAAATAAAGCAACCCCATGCTTCCTTCAGAATTGCTGAATAAACAGTAATTCTATGCAGTGCTTTCACATGCAATGATCTCCTGAAACTCTACACAGTTTATCTAGTGTCAGCACGCCATGAGATAGACTGATAGTCCCATTTCAGAGGTAATGAAACTATGGCACAGAGTAAAATCACTGCCCAAAGCCTTAAGAAGTTTGCCAGAGCTTTGAACAGAAGCCAAAACTAAGGTACTCGTCCTCTTCATCTTACACTTTAGCCAAAAAATTTCCCTGCCACCCACAAAAAAATTGTATTCTATAGGATTTTTAGGGAGGGGTGTCCAACTATGCTTAATCAAATGGACTCAGTAGCAAGAGAAAAAGAAATGTACATGTAACTTCCCTGTGTTGGGTTTCACATGAATTTTAGGTTAGTTTATGCCCCTTTCTTGACAGCACTCCTCCGAGCTCTCCTAATAATGAAGGAGTGATAAACAGACATGAGACTCTTTTTTCTGTTCAACAGGAGTGTGTTGAATGCCATTACATTCAAACAACCGCTCCCTATCTTGGTGTCCTTCCATCCTTTCAAGAGCAAGTGTTTTGTTGGCTTTGTTTTTCCTTAAGATTCTTGTTCTGAATATTGGAAACAAACCAGAAATATCCCTGCAGACAGAATTTTAGGCTGACAGCATTAATTCCATGGAAACTCTTGCACTATAAAGAAGAGAACCAAGAGCAGCGATCAGCAGTCTGCACAGGGAGGGGGAAGAAAAGGCATCTACAGGGCCTGGTAGGAACAGCTGATCTAAGGGAACATGAAGAAAGCAGGGAGAGGGGAGAGAGCTCTGTGCATCGTAGGAAATGAGAAGGGAGTACACCCAAGGTCTAAAGTAAGGGTGGCTGGCACAGGGGGCTGTGACAAACCTCAAGCTCTATGTGTCGTGACAGACTGTGGTGGTAGTTTTAAGTTCTAACAACAAAAGAATAAAAACTTTACGATGGATCTAATTGCCTATTTTACTAGTTCTACCAACAGATAAAACCCTTGCTCTAAAATACTCCAAATGTTTGATAATTTTTCTTGCTTCTCTCTGGCACATTTCACTGTTCTCCCAACTCTCTTCACAGCATCTTCTAGAAACACCTCAATTTTTGTACTTTTTTTTCTTTTAAGCGCAGAAGGACAAAAAAGTCATCAAGTATTGCCTGCGAGGCTAATTTTTAAGAATGACATTCATGCTTAGCTACGCTTTCAAAACATGCTCTACTTAATTTATTTTTCAGTCTGCTTTCCTAAACTGCTGATTAAAGATCAATTTATAAACAAGAGATTGCTCCCTCATTACTCATCTTGTCCTTCTGCCCATTTCTGGTAATAATTTAGCTTTTAATAGTCATACAGGGATTTCAGAAGATAAAAGATGAACCATTAATTGGGAAAGGGCAATGGAAAAACAGGATCAGAAGTCAAGAAGCATTTCAGATAGAATGGTAGCTATAAAAAGGTGGTTTTCAGACTTTTCTTCCATTTAAATAAAACCTTAGCAAAGACTTTTTTTTTTTTTTTTTACAAGCTAATCATAAATCTCCCCTTTCAAAATTCAGGTGCTAATCCAACCTCAAATCAACAGGAGACCAAAATAGGTAACACGTTCATCTAATAATGGGATTATGTTGATTGAGCATGTATAAAATGCAGTTAGCAGTAACAGCTTTCCCTAGATGAGGAATGTAGATGGCTATACCTATCCACGTACAGGAATCCTTCATCCTGCTAGGTGTCGACAGGACTTTCTGAGGAGTAGCTAAAAGGCTTTATGTCACCCTTTCTATTCTGAAGATGTGAAATATCTGTAGCTGGTTCTTTTATCTTCTGAAAGAAACCCCATCTGTAGAAGTGGTAGAGAGTACACAGGCAACCTCTTCCTGAGACTCAGATGCATACAGATAGATAAAGTAACCTGAACCGTGAATTCACCATTTTCTAGCAAGACAGGAAGGTCTTGCCCGAAAGCAATGAATGGATGAAATGAAGACAGATTTAGGAATTTGCCCTGATATGCCCTGTCCTGCAGGAACAGGATCATCCCCATTCTGCCCCGCTAAGTCTTTGGATGCCATTCTGTAATGGCCAATGCTAATCTAAACTGGGACTACTGTAGTCCCACTCTCCCTCCTGACCTGAGCTGTAGAGCAATGACCTGCCCGTTGGGCCACGCTGGCCCTGAGGTGAGATGGCTCAAGGAGCTCACCTAGCAAATGCTAGCTCGGGCTGGTGGGCAAGGAGAGTTTTCTAACCAGTTTTTGAAGAGCTGCTCTGTGTGTGTGCGTGTGGGGGGGACGTAACCCGCTCAACTGCGTGGAACGGACTCATGGAATCGGAGAGTATCGGCCAGTGCAAAAGGGCAAGGAGCTGGGCCCTGGCTGCTCCAAATGAGATTAGCTTACCACAAAGCTATGAAACCACACACTTAGCCATTTGGGATGTGAAAAAAACAACAGACATTTTTATTCATTGTGAGCCAGACATCTGATGTGCTTTTTATCAAGCAGGACTTCAGATGCTTGCTTTGACTGGTGTGCTGGTTTTGGCTGGGATAGAGTTAATTTTCTTCACAGTAGCTAGTGTGGGGCTATGTTTTGGATTTGTGTTGGAAACTGTTGATAACACAGGGATGTTTTAGTTACTGCTGAGCAGCGCTGACACAGAGTCAAGGCCTCTTCTGCTCCTCACACCACCCCACCAGCGAGTAGGCTGGGGATGCACAAGAAGTTGGGAGGGGACACAGCCGGGACAGCTGACCCCAACTGACCAAAGGGATATTCCATACCATACGATGTCATGCTCAGCATATAGAGCTGGGGGAAGAAGGAGGAAGGGGGGGACATTCGGAGTGGTGGTGTTTGTCTTCCCAAGTAACGGTTACGCGTGATGGAGCCCTGCTTTCCTGGAGATGGCTGAACACCTGCCTGCCGATGGGAAGGAGTGAATGAATTCCTTGTTTTGCTTTGCTTGTGTGCGCGGCTTTTGCTTTACTTATTAAACTGCCTTTATCTCAACCCACGAGTTTTCTCACTTTTACCCTTCCAATTCTCTCCCCCTTCCCACTGGGGGGGGGAGTGAGCGAGTGGCTGTGTGGGGCTTAGTTGCCGACTGGGGTTAAACCACGACAATTGGTAACAAAGAAATTCCCTTCCAAAGGATGGATAGCATTTGAAAATCTACACTTCTTACAGAGCCCTTTCAAGCTAGTTGCTACAGTCTTTTCACACTCATCACATGTAAAGCACGTGGAAACTATTTTAAATGCACACTTTCAAAAATCTGTACTAAAAAAGATGATCAAGTTCTTTCATTTTGTGTCCAAACAATATAAAATAAGGGCATGTTCTGAGCAAACCTGCTGCCCCTTATTCCTGGAAGGATTTAAGATGCAGTTACCAATCTCTACTCTCACAGATTTGTAAGTAATTTATAAGTAATCTGGATTCCTGAGGTCACAAGACATCTTAACTGTACTCCTTATCCTGGGGTAGATGCCATGTTTCTCAGAAGAATCGTAAGGAGAAGAATGGTTCCATTCCAGGCTCATGCCAGCTTTGTCTACTGAAGTAGAGAGCAACTGACTTATCAAAGGGAAACACCAAATTCCAACACCTTGCCTGGATTACATTCACAGACACAGAAAAAAGTATGACAAAGAGCCAGTTTTCTGTTGGATCTTGCACTGATCTTCTAGTATGGATACCATCCACTGGCTAAATAAAAATTTGGAACATACCCTCATGTGGATAATCAGTATCCTCAGAATATACAGCAGTGTTTATGAGGATCTGGTCCTTCTACAAGGTACCAAGACAGATTTTGTTTTTATACTGAGATGCAGGGAAGTAAAGAAAAAAGGAACCTCACATAGTATAAACTACCCCTCCAGAAAAGCCTGGGATCCTACAGACTTGTTTTCAGGACTGATAGGTATCTGTTTCTAAACGATATAGCTGAGTTGCATCTTTGAGAACACTGACCCAAATCCACAGGTGTATTTAGGCATCTTCATCCTACATATGCTCCCAAATCTCATTGAAGCAGCAATTACAAACTACAGAAGTTAAACCCCTAAATGCCTTTATGTCAGATAAAGTTAATGATGCACAAAAAACAGCCTCCTTTTAGGCTTCATAAAATGTTTAGCGAGAAGCTAAGATCATGTTATGGCCACGGATCCCAAACCGTGCTCGACGTGTAAGAACAGGTGACACAGGAAGAATTCTAATGCACTGACCATACAGCAGGAAATGGGGCCAAAGGTGCCTGAGGGTGGCAGCATTTCCCCCCCCCCCCCGTAACTGTAGTTCCTGTAGCACAGAAGAACAATCTTCACAACAAGAAGGATAACACTACTCCAAGGAATAACTTGTTTGAACTGATCTGGCAGACCTGAGAAAGAGTAAGCCTGGGCAGGGCAGTGATGATGGTTCTGCACTCTCCGTAACTCCCTGTGTGGTTAAGCCTTTTCTGCCCGGGATGGCGCATTTCTAGATTCTGCAGGAGACCCAGCAGCATCCTCTTGCTCTTACTTAGATGGGCATTGTAGCCTGTACTGAATATCATACCCCAAAGCTTAAGAAACATTCCTCCTCACTGTCTAGAATAAAAAAAAACAAAAAATGAGTAAGAGGGGAAAAAACACACTTAAATCCTGTTTTCATTTTAAGATAAGCCTGCCAAAATAAGGTGAAGCTACCAGAAAGATGGGAAACAGATTTTCTAAAACAATAACAACTTTCGTCCTCCACAACTATTTCCATAGAGATAGATTTCAACAGCTGAATTTTTTTGACTAACAAAATGAGAAGAGAAAAGTTAGTTCCCAAACTGTTCCAACAGCAGAAGCCAAAAAGACCATTAGAATCCAGGCAATTAGAAATTGCCTACATCTCTTCAAGCTCTCTAAGTCTGCCTCCTGTTTTAAAAGGCTCAGTTGCCAGACAGCAGAAAAGAAAACCTTTTTTGAATTCCTGATCTATTTCAAAAACCTATTGCTAGCAACATGCAAACTTTTCTATAAGTATGCAAATCAGAAGCCATTAAGAACACTCCTGGCCCTTGAAGTCCTAACAAGAGCAGCAATAGCTTGTTTCTGATGCAGACGAATCTGTGAAAATTAATAGCTTCGCCATTTAAAACAAACAAAACCACATAACTAGTTTCAAAATATGCAAGAATACAGCCAATAACATTATTGTGTTCATATCTGACATTAAAGACTGATATAACCTGAACCACTACTCTGATTCACCTGTTCCAGAGGAATGCTCCAGAGAAAAATACAATCTTTAAAGTGAGCTGACAGGATCTTGGTAAGGTGTCTAGCTTTCTCAGTTAGATATCTAGTCTAACTGATTCACTTCTAGTCAAACTATCAGCTTTTATATGGAAGTGAAAAAAACAATTTGTCACTGAACAGAAGCATGTTCAATGGTATTCTTAACAATATTAAAATAATTAAAACATTTCATCTTAACAGAACTCATGGTATAACACTGATTTCCATGAAAACAACTGCTTTTTCAAATCCTCTTTTCCTATTATGGGTATTAGCAGCCTTTTCCTCTTAAAGTATTTGGTTATGCTCGAGATTTAAAATGTTTTTTTAATTTTGAAATCCGTGCTAATTGAAGGATACAGGCCCCAATACCAGTAATATTCTTGCAGTTCAGCAAAAGCAGATTCAGAATTTCTTCTATGTTGCATTGTAATAGAACATTTTGAGATGGTCTAAACTATAGCAGGTGAGAGTATTTAGGCAAAAATAAAAGGTAAAAAAAAAACCCCACACCACCACTCCTCTGCAGGAAGAGATGTTCTCTAAACAGCACTATTTTAAACTTCAACTTTCAAAATACGACTCACACATCACTAAGGTCTTTCACTGGATTCTGTGTTGTATCTGCTCACTTCTGCTGACCACAAGATGTTTTGACTGTGCTCAGCCTTAAAGCTAAGTTTATTTTTCCAATTGTTTCCCACATATGAGTAGCATTACTAACTGAGGAATCTAAAGCCTATTGCTAAAATATAATGACCTCAAGAAGTAAAAAAAAAAAAAAAAACCCAAAAAAAAAAAACCCCAAAAAAAAAACCAAAACACACACAA